TGTGAAACAGAACCAACTTTACAGTCTCAGGTTCCATCTCCGGTCTCTACTCAGTTTGATGATCTCAAACCTGGCAGTACTAAGTGCAAATTGAAGTTACGAATTGGCCTCAGCGTTATGAATTAAGGAGAGGAAAAAATCAGTCAGGGTTTCCCTCTCCTGAAGCCTTGTGGATGTAACATTAAGACCATTATCTTAAAATTTAAGAACATGTAGAATCTCTGAAAAGTCTTAGTTTGGAAGCAGATTTTCTGTAGTTCTTTTTAAGAACAAGCTTCCATATTAAGGATAACAACAAGTTATTCATGATCTTAAATTTTAAGGCAAGAGTTTTAAAGGTAAGAGTTTGGGCTTCTATTCGCTATACTGTGTATTCTGCAGGACTTTTTTGACCTAGAAAAGGTGAAAGTGTTCTGAGATGCTACCCTGCGTGAAGGGCGCTATATAAGTTGTTGTTGTGTTGTTGTAAATGACTGAGTGGATCAATTAGGAATCAAACCCAGAGCCTTCTGGTCTCATGTCCAGTGGTCAAATGACTGAGCTACTCAGATTGAGTTCAAGATCCTCGTCATCTTTAAGGCCATCCATGGCCTTGCCCCCTCCTATCTCTCTGACCTGCTGACTCGCTACCAACCTGCCCGCTCCCTCTGCTCATCAGGCTCCGGCCTGTTCCATGTCTCCCGTCCGACCCGCCCTACCATCGGTGACCGGGCTTTCAGCCTCTCTGCCCCCACACTATGGAACTCCATCCCACGGTCCCTTCGCCTCGCTTCCTCCCTTGCTCCTGATTCAAAATATGGGGCCTACCTAACCCTGATAGGATCCAAAGTCTTTACAATGAGGAACTCGTGTTTAAAAAAAATAAGGCATCTTGTTGAGTGAAATGATGCATCACACTTATGTGGTGAGAGCGAAAGATCAGTGGAGATAAAAATATAATTGATTACATGGGTGGTATTGTTGTTCACTCGATTCTTTGCTAACTCTCTGCAGTGGCAATAGAAACCAGTTACTAAGAAACCAAGTTCTATTTGCAATGTTGTAAGAAAGAAGTCAGCAGTTTCTTAAAGTGATCATTACTCATGATGGATATCACATGTTACATAATAGTGAGGCTAGAATTTTAAAACCTATTGATACTTTTCTATTGGAAGTTTAGTGGTTGATAAGCAATGGTAACAAAGATGATATAATTATACCATAGGACAATAAAGTGCAGATTAGTTGTTGTGTTTATCTACAAACATTCAATTCATTTCCAAGCTTCAAGCTGTTTGTTAATATGTGAAAGGTGCTATGTAAGTTGAAGTTGTTACTATAATTATCTATTCAATACTGACTAAGATTAGTTATATATATATATATTACTAACACCAAGAGCAAGTGTGATGTCCTTACTTCAGTTAAAATTAAACGTATGAACTTTGGACATTGTAACCCTGGAAGGGCAGTACCAAGTGTGGACAGATCTCCTTCACACGGCCATTGTCGCTGAGAACATTGGGCAAGAGTGGTTCTTCAGCTCAAGCCAATTTAGGCAGAAGCTTCAAAGAGCAGGCATTTTGTTAGCTACTATTGTCTCCAAGGTTGTTGTCTTAGGACAGAGGAGGAGGTGAGCAAAGGGGAACAAATCATGTGAAACTTTTCCTAAGCAGATGCAAGAGAGATGAGAATTCGGATGGCAAGGAGCAAAACCATTCACTGACAGACATTAATGTTGACAAAGCTAATCCAATATTCCATTGTCTCTTGAGGGAATTTAACGATACATCAGAATAACTCATCCAACCTTGTGGAGTCCTGTAGGGTATTTGTTAGAGCATTCGCCTCACAAGCGAAAGGTTCGGTTCCCGGACAGGGCGAAATGTTGGGTAAGTTTACTTACTCCGTACTCCTCTGTTTACCTAACAGTAAGTAGGAACCCAGTTGTTAGTCGATTGGTGGATCACTTTTCAAGGGGTAATAATTCCTTCAAAAAAAGTTTTGAAAAACAATTATTATTATTTGGTCACTCAATCCATGACTGTTTGTGGAACACTGCTGTGTGCAATTTGCTATCCTGTTTCGCCCACAGTCAATTCACTCCACAATATATTCTGTGAAGCGTTTTGAGGCGTCTCGAAGATGTGATAAGGCGCTATATCAAATGCAAGGATTACTAATATTATTGTACAGTTCGCCAGAAGTTCATTTGCCATTTTAGTTGCCTTATCTTTAGAATGGCATTGAAGAGTCGGAAAGGGCTCAGATTAGACTAAGAATACTCACTGCAGGACTTAGAACTCTGGGTCATCATAATGGACTCATAGAGTTAAACTTGTCACATAAGAAAAAGATTCAGTTCCTTAGTCATGAACACCAGAGAAGATAGAAGGCGATTTGATTTGGATTGTGAGATTAGAACCAGAGGGTTTAAAACTGTGACAATAGAAGAACCTAAATTGGTGATCTCATTCATCATGAGTGATTCTTGGAAGATCTGGGAAAAATAACAGATAAGTCAGAGTTGTGATTCCTACTGCGTTAGCACAGATGAAGGCGAATGAACTCATGAGAGACGTTACAGTTGAGGTATACAAACAGGTGGGGCTATTTGGCATTGCTCAATGCTAGTGAAATGAATAGCCTTAAGTGGTTATTTCCGTATTTTCTTTAATTGGAGGACACTCCTGGTAATATGGGCATATCATATTATGACTTGCACTCTATGCCTCCTGAGCTGCTTTCCTTTCATTACTTGTCGTGGAAACCTTTGAGTAATATGCCAGGTTTCAATTATTTTATTTCCATTTGCTCCCCTCCTGTTCTGAACTCTTGCAGGAGTTTGTTTGGTGAAAGAGCCCAAGCTCTGGTGGTCTATAACAACAACAATAAACTTACATTTATACAGCAAATTCACATCGAGAAGATGTCCCAAGGTGCTGGGTCTATTCAACTATAGGGAAACATTAAAAGCTTGAATCCCATATGGGCTTAGTCCTAAAGCCATTGCTTTAAAGTTTAAGATTAAAATGACCTCCACTTCCACACTAAAACTGAATTTAATGTGCTTATGATACCACCTAGTGGCAGCTTTGATATTGTGCTTTGATTCACTCCTTTGGTTTAAATTCGTGCTTTAATTATAATAATCCTTGCGTTTGATACAGCGCCTTATCACGTCAGCGAGACAACTCAAAGCTTCACAGGAATTGATTGTGGGAGTGTAGTGATTGTGTATTTGTAACCAAACACGGCAGGCAATTTGCAATGCAATTTCCCATAAACAGCCATTGAAGTGAATGACCAATTTTATCTGGGGAATTGTTGGCCAGGACACCGAGAGAGAGAAACTCCCTTCTCTTTTCGATCCGTACCACAGGATCTTTAACATTCATTTGAACAGGCAAATGGGACTTCTATTTAACATTTCATGTGAAGTATGGCACCTCCAACAATGCAGCCTCACCCACCCAACATGACATTGGAGTATCAGCCTAGACTGTGAGTAAACATTTGAATGGAGCAAAGGAGAACACTGAGGTCCAAGGCATGGCTATGCAGAAATTCCATATGATTCTTTTCATATTACATCTTTCCAATTGAACTGAAAAGCTGTTTAGGTAAAAAATACTAGGCTCAGGCTACCTGCTTGTTGATTCAGCCTTCACATCATCATCACACAGGCTGGTGCCGGGTTTGATCTTAGCTTGTGCTGAGCGAGTTGATTTCACCCACGGTAGTATTAGCAGTGCTCAGATGTTCCCTGGTCTTCTCCCACCTACCTCCCCCACCTAGTGGTCCAAGATGCTACACCAAGTGAAGTGCGTAGGGTGCTATATAAATGAAAGTTGTTGTTTTTCAAGTGGAGATAGAGGCAAGTAATAGAACTGTAATCATAAAATAATCCTTGCATTATCTAGAGCCTTTCATGTTGGAGGGGCACGTGCAAAATATAAATTTTTAAAATAGAACCATCCCACATTTACTTTCAGCCCATTCGCACCAATTAAAGTTGCTGCTCCTGATCCATTCTGCAAGCAAGTCCTGCTGGGAATCGCCCACAAAATACACAGTCAATTTGCTTTACAATATATTCTGTGAAGCACTTTTGAGAGGTTTCAACGATGTGATAAGGTGCTATATAAAATGCAAGGATTATTATTATATTATAAGCTTAACAGTAAACGTGTATGAATATTGGGCGAGGACAAAATCAGGTTTCGTTGTGAAATTCAAGGACATAAAGGTTATTGCACATGTTTGAAGTGGGGAAAAATGAATGAATCAGGCGTTCAGCCCCTCCTACATAAGGGCTTTCAAATTAGTCGGAAAAAAATCATCAAAACTTTGTATAGATCCCTGATTATGTTCCATATGGAATACAAGCACTCTAAGGCCCTATCTCATGTATAAATGTAAGTTGCTGCTGCTGTTGTTGTCTTCCAGAGGAAAAAAAGGTGATCTGGGGTTTTGAAATCTAATGCGTAATGCAGATCCAAAATGACCATTTAAAATAGATTGCATGTGCAAAACTGGAGGTTATTAGTATCAGATTAATAAAACTCAACCAAAATTAGAAAGAATTCTGTTCTCACCCCCTCAAATCATGAATAGGAGTAGCAGACGTCCAGTTAAATCCAATAGTTGAATCTTTTTTCTGTCTTTCCCCAACACATTGTCATCTGCACTTTTTCTCCCCAGTGAGTCACACGAGGGTACAGGGTCACAGGCTAGTAGACAGCTGGACTGTGTGTCAAAATAGCTACCACTGAAAGTGACTTCTTCGTATTCTGGTTGAGATCAGCTTTCTTATGCATATCCTCCTGGTAATAACCCCAGCAGAGCCCTCTGCAATATGCTCCACGACTTTATACTGCATGAAGGGTGACATATAAATGTAAGTTGTCGTTGTTGAAGCCAATTGCTGATGAAAAGTCAGGCAGAAAAAAAAGATGCACACATGAGAAGAGGTAAGAGTGAGTTCGGCCCAGCTGAGTAATTGTATCCAGGGTCAGGGTGAGTGATGACAAAATTTATTCAGAAGCAATACATCGCTTCCAAGGATACCAGCAAGTCAAATATAATTAACACAATAATTAATCAATTTCTACAACCAGTACTGAGACTTAATCACTTTCATGCAACATAACCCCACCTGGTCACTGGTACATAGCTAAAAACTAGTCTTTAGTCACAAACCCTATTCCACGCAGTCAAGACTGGAATCTAAAGTCATGGTGCAATAGGGCTCTCCAGGACATCTTGGCTGCTTTTGAGCATGAAAGGTACTTGGGTCTATAAAATGTTGAAGTGAGTTAAGGACGGCAACAGTCTTTGTGCTGGTTAGTGACATGGACACCTTCCACGGAAATCATCAGATCATTTCAACGGTGGCATGGTCTTTAACTGCATTTTCAACCCCCCCCATCCACCCAATATATTTCTATTTTTTTAAAAAAAAGAAAATGAATGAGCTGAGTAATTATTCAATTCATAGCAGAGCTTAAATACCAATGTTTGGATACAAATGCTTCTATTTAGATCATGCAGGACGTTTCTGAGAACCTTAAGCATTATGCTTCAACCCGACGTAATTCAGTTCCATGTCGCCATAGATACTAATCTGGCTTAGTTCACTCAGAGTCTTGATACGATGTTTGTACACCAGTAGATGCTGACCGTTCACAGCCAATTTAAATTGATCTGGTTCACAAAGAACCAAAATCTGGAGAAAGAAAAGCAACATTATAATAAACAAATGTAGTCACTCAATCCACCATGGTTTGCGGGACGCTGCTGTGCACAATTGGCTGGGTTTCGCCCGTAAAATACGCAGTCAACCCACTTTACAATAATATCCTGTGAAGCGCTTTGAAACATCTTAACAACGTAATAAGATGATGATTATATCAACAACACGTTTATTAACTATTAATGAAAAACCATAGAGACAAAAGTAGTTCTATTATTGCTTGCATTCCACAGAAATATATATTGTGTTTATAATAATCCTTGCATTTCAGAGAGTGCCTTATTGCATCAAATACAGTACCGGGTGGGGTGGGAAGGGGGAAGCATTTTTGGAGGTGTTGCCCTTTGGATGAGATGTTAAACTAAGGCCCCGTCTGCCTGCTGAAGTAGATGCTAAAGACCCTGTGGCACTATTTGAAAATAGAAGGAAATTTTTCCCCTGGTATCCTGGACAACAATCCCTCAAATAAAAATGGTCGTTCATTTTATGGCTGTTTGTGGGAGATTGCTGTGTGCAAATTGGCTGCCGTGTTTGTCTACAAAATACATAATCACGATACTCCTCAATAAATTCCTTGAAGCACTTGGAGACATCTTGACAACATAATGAGGCACTGTATCAAATGTAAGGATTATTACTGTTGTTTAATGCTTTCTGGTGCCTGGGGAATCATAGCATAGTAAGGGAGGCAAAAAAGTACTTGTGAAAAAAACTACAGGCAATCTCTCGCAGCTACAGATAATAAACAGTGCAGACATTCTTTATCGTACCTCAAATGCTTGTCCATATTTAAATGGAAACAACTTCCCTTCTCTTTCTTCTGAACCCCAAGAATCATTGATTTTGCTATTACAGACAAGCACTTGTTGATAACTGTTCTCCTTGAAACGAGGGTTAAAGTGAAAAGCAATGTCATTGCGCCTCAGTATGTTGAAGGCAAACCTGTGGAAATACAAACAATTAGAGACGGTGGTTACAGCTCTGAGAATTTTAAAGGCCTTTACAATTTCTCATCAATATTCATTGCTTACTGAAGACTGTGACTTCTTTTTTCCGGTGGAGAATTGCCCAAAACTATTACATTTGAGATCCTTCGAAAATCCTGTCTCAATAAATACTAAACAGATGAGACCCTCAGAGAATGCTCTGCACTTAGTCCCCTTTGCAACACTACTGCATTGGTTCCCAGTCTGGTCGCATCAATGTTACAAATAAGGTGGATATTCAATGTGTGCTCGGGCCACTTTTGACTGACCATTCACTGGAACATTAAGATTATGAGCAATATTTGCTCAGGCTCCTCTCTCTCAATGTACCTACAGTCTTTGCTCATTGCAAGCCGAGTAGAGAAAACATTTCACTTGCCAATTAGGACGTTCCCCACGAAAAGATCCCATTTTATAAATCTGGTTGCCCAGGAGCAATGAGTTCCCTGAGAGAGGAATACACTTCAGTATTGGGTGCATTGACAGAGGTTTGAACAGTTGCATAATGTCACGCTGTCAACTAAGAACCCAAGCTCTAAGAGGTAACTGGTATTCTCACTTCTGATCAATAGCCAGTGGCAGGGAGTGGCAGATCAAAGTTGCAATGTAACCCCTCCCTCCCATCAGCTGTATAACTCACCAATGCTCAGTCCCAGGCCCACACATCTGTAGCAATTTGCACCAGCTCTTGCATAATGCAACATTAAACTGGAGCAGGAAGGCTACATAAATAATATGTAGCTACACCAGAGGGAAATTTACAATATGTGATGTGGTAATTATTTTTCCCCACCAACTGGGTCTCATCTGTACAATGTCACAAAGTGTAAGTGAAGTGAGAACTAAACTTGGCACATATTCAAGATCAATTCAAAAGAAAAAGGGAGTTTAGAAGAAATGTCTTAATGCAGAGGGTGGAATTCACTGCTGAACGCAGAGGTGAGGGAGGGAAGCATCAACTTAAGTAAAAGGAAACTTGCTGCATGTATAAGGGAATCGAGGGGATTCCCATCCCTTGGGCTCGTGTGGAGTTTCACGTGGAACTGTTGGAAACTGTAGACGAAGCTAAGTGCATCAATGTATGCAGGAAACGTAATATATACATGAGGGAGAAAGGAATAAAGAGGTATTTGATATAGCCTCACATTTGATATAGCGCCTTATCCTGTCGTTGTGACGTCTCAAAGCGCTTCACAGAAAATATCGTAAAGTGAATTGGCTGTATTTGTGGGCAAAACGCAACAGTCAATTGCACACAGCAGAGTCCCACAAACAGTCGTGGATTGAGTGACCAAACTTTTTTTTGAGGGATTATTACCCTTGGAAAGCAATTCACCAATCGACCAACAACCGGGCTCTTATTCACTTCTAGGTAAACAGAGGCGTATGGAGTAAGGAAACTTGCCTAAGGTTAAGCCCTCCTTGGAAATCGAACCCGGGTTCTCTCACTTGCAAAGAAAGCACGCTAACCACTATGTTACGGGACTCCTCAAAGAGAATGGAATAGGAGGTATGGTGGCTCATGTACAGTAAAGATGAGTTGGACCAAGTGGCTTCTTTTTGTGCCATATCATTCTATGCCATTGTATGCAAATGTTGTGTGTGTATCTAAATTTACCTTTCAGCATTTGGTTTGACAGAACCCCAGATTGTCAGCATTACACCTGGAGGGAAACCTGCCTGGAGAGGCAAGTCGTAGGGCATTGGCTGTAAGTACAAATAAATATGTTAATCGGCACAAGCACATTCATAATAATAATAATCCTTGCATTTGATATAGCGCTTTTCACGTCAGGAGGACGTCCCAAAGCGCTTCACAGAACACACTGTAAAGTGAATTGACTGTATATTTGTGGGCGAACGCGGCAGCCAATTGCGCACAGCAATGTCCCACAAACAGTCGTAGATTGAAAATGACCAATTTATTATTGTTTTTGGTTTTGGAGGGATTATTATTAGGCTCTGTGTGGAGTAAGGAAACTTGCCCAAGGTTTCGCCCTGCCTGGAATTGAACTCAGGTCTCTCGCTTGCAAAGCGAGTGCTCTAACCACTGAGCTACAGGACTCCACGTGCTCTACTTGCTCACGAACCTAACTGAAAAGGAACCTTACCACAAATCCAAATCCTTTTTTCAAGTCAATTTCCTTTATTCCTTCCATATCCTTTGAAGAACTTCTCCACATCCTTTTCCCTAGCCTCTGATGACTCAGTCTACCAAAGAATACACGAGAGCTCCACTACTCTTCCAACTGCGGTAAGAAATTTCCCCAAATGGTTTGTGATCAGTCAGCTCATACAGTAGAACGTATTAGCATAATTATAAGATGTGTTTTGGTGTTAAATGATGCTTACACTTGATAACATTGATCAAATGTAGGTTGACTACAACCTACAACCAGATGCCCGGCTTGGCATCTGACACATATGGAACCCATCACCAGTTATATAACTAGGCTTATAACCAACCTCACCCTGAAGACTTTTGTCTTATATTCTACAAAACTACAAAAAGTGTTGATGAACGTGAAAATAAAAGCTTACCAATCGCCCGGGAGCTCCAGGATTTGCAGGGAATCCAGGTCCAAGTTGGAAAGGCATGGTGCCTGCAGGTCCCTGGGGGCCTGGAAACCATGGTTGTCCGGGTGGCATCGGTTGTCCGGGTGGCATCGGTTGTCCGGGTGGCATCGGTTGTCCGGGTGGCATCGGTTGTGGTGGGAAAGGGTTGACTCCGCCAGGTGCTGGCCAATATCCCGGAGCTGGGGCATTCCATCCTGGATTGACATTGGAATCTGGAGTTCCACTAGTATTCAATTTGGGGGCACTCGCAGGAGTAGCGTTAGGAGTCAATGCATCCGCCAACTGTAGGATCAATAAGAAAGAGAGTAATGAGAGAAGTTCATTCGATCCATTAAACTTGCTCCCTCCACAGTCTATCACATTGCCTTTTGTTTTTTTTAAGCCGCTCTGCCCCCATTCTCTGGGTCTCCATCCCGGATACCCTACACCTTGCCCATTCCTTCCCCACCTTCAAACCTGCCCTAAGACCTTTATGTTTAACTGTGCTTTCAGTGCCCTTCCCCAGTTCACCCCTGTCACTCCTAAATCCCCCACCCCCGACATCTAGCTCGGGCTCCCAGTCAATTAGGCGAATTGCTTTGAGACTTCCTCCCAATATGAAAGGCGCTATATAAATGCAAACTTTTGTTCAGTTAACTATAGGACAGAAAATTTAAAGTATTCCTGTAATGCATCAAATAGATATGAGTCATTCTGCGGGTATTTTTAAGGTGGGAGCGTTCAAAGGTCTGAAACTTTATTGCATCAACATGCGCCTGGATGTTGTAAATTATCAGAGAAAATATGCTTTATTCTCTTTTCCTTTCGCTAAATCCCTCTTTGATGCACAATTAATAACACTAGATGTAAGCCAGCACAGACAACGCTTTCTGTTTGCAACAATTATTGCTTTGAGGCAGAATTTGCACCTTTAGAATTACAGAAGATATAAATATGTACTTACGTCAAAAAAGTCCTGAAAAACAGAAGGAAGTTTATGTCAATATTTTTGCAGTTGAGAAGCAAACCATCTTCTTCTGAAACCAGTCAGCAATATACAGAATGAACCAGATTTGCAAATGAGTCATGACCACTGCTGTTTTGAATGTGGAATTCAGTTCAATAATTTTCAAAAAGGGAACTGGATATTTATTTGAAAAGAAAAACATTGCAAGGCTATTGGGAAAGAGCAGGGTAGTGGGATTAGTTGGTAGCTCTTTTAAACTGCTGGCATAGGCACAATGGGCCGAATGGCCTCCTTGCTGTGCTGTAGGATTCTATGATTCTAAGTAAGTAGTAAGCAGTGACATTAACAAAGCACCCTACTGGATGCCTCATGTCAGGACTCATAGTCTAGGTCAGGCTGAAAATCCAGTGAAGTGCTATATTGACAGAGATGCCTTTCTTCGGACGAGATGTTAAACCAAGGTCCTATCTGCCTGATCAGGAGGATGCTAAAGATCCCATGAGACTATTCGATAAGAGAAGGGACCTATATAAATGCAAATTGTTGGTGTGGTTGTTATCTGTCTTTTTTTAAACTATCTATCAAACGATTAGGCACTACGGTTTGATTGGGCTGAGGATATGGGTATGGCTCAAGCTGTCTCCCACCCCCCCTGTGCAACATTAATACAGTACATTGCTAATAGCCAGCATGGAAATCAAATGATACTATAATATCAATGTTATTGCAGAGACTGATGCTGCTTATGTGTGAATAAAATACCTTCTTTTTTAAAAACTTTGAATCTTTGTGCCAACTCGTATTGAGTAAACTGGGACTCCAGCAAACCCAAGATGAGTACTGAATATTGTGTAAGAAGCACCAGAATTCTTACCTTTTTATTTAAGGAATATATAAATGTGTACTTACATCTGATTCCTGCAAAATAGAAGAATAATGCTCATGTCAAATGCAGTGATCAAGAACCAAAGATTTACTATGTCAACATGAGACACACTGCATAAGATGCAGACAGTTGCTTGGCCACCCTGTTCTGGAACAAATCTCTGGTTTAACCTACAGCCTGAGCAAAATTCCTACAATTCTCCGGGTGGATGACGGAGAAGGTTAGAATAAAAGTTTTCAAATTCAAAAGCTGCCTTAGTCTAACTTGACTCACCGACCACATTGCCAGAGGGCAAGTCAGTTGCTGCAATCATAGGTCTGAGCTCCGACTCCTAACTGGCAATGTTACATTTGACAAAAGAAAACGTCAGACCCCCCCCCCCCCCAACACGGTGTTTGCAAATAAATTTGCAATAAATTTGCAAATAAAGCTCCCAGTGCAGTTCACTCATCATAAAAATTTCGCAGATTCTGATTTGTGTCGAGCTGCTTCTAGACAAAACCCACTTGGGGCAGGGAGGACCCACAAGGAAATAAATATTTATTCTTACAGTGCACCAGGAGGGGAGGGAAAGGTTATAGAGTACAGCACTGCTTAACCAACTACATGAGCAATCTACCAAGGGCTACACAGGGGTTTTACCAATGTGCGAAAACTAATTTATCCATTTTACTCAATGTTTGGGAGTGGCACTTTTTTAAAAAGAATTATCTTAAAGAGCAAGATTGAAGCATTACTTCAACTGTGCATAGAAAGTACTTGCCGACGCAATATTTTCCTGTTTCATATATTCTGCTAGCAGGTAAAGTGTCAGAAAGTGGTGGGATCAAAGCACAAAGGTTGTGGGATCATATTGGGTCTTTAAGTCTTTAAGCCTGATAGGCTCGCGCCAGTGCCTCCGCACCTCAGGCGCTGGCAGCATCAGCCTCCACGGCTGCACACTCAACCTCACTGAGCCAGTCAGGAAGCTGGGTGTTTTGTTTGACCCTGAACTGTCCTTTCTCCCCCACATCCGCGCCATGACCGGCACTGCCTACCACCACCTCTGCAACATTGCCAGACTCCGCCACTGCCTCACCCCTCAGGCTGCCAAAACCCTCACCCGTGCATTCGTCACCTCAAGGCTCGATTATGGGAACGCCCTCCTCATCGGCCTTCCCAACTCTTCCCTTCACAAGCTGCAGATCATCCAAAACTCTGCAGCTCGTGTACTCTTACGCACCAGGCTCCGTGACCCCATCACTCCCACCCTCGCCCAACTCCCTGAGGATCGAGTTCAAGATCCTCGTCCTCACCTTTAAGGCCATCCATGGCCTTGCCCCCCCACCCACCCACTCCCACCTCCTACCTCTCTGACCTGCTGACTCTCTATCAATCTTCCCGCTCCCTCCGTTCATCAGGCTCCGGCCTGCTCCATGTCTCCTGCCCGACCTGCCCGACCCGCCCTACCATTAGTGACCGAGCTTTCAGCCTCTCTGCCCCCACACTCTGGAATTCCATCCTGCGGTTCCTTTCCCTCGCTTCCACCTTTGTCTCCTTCAAGGCCGGTCTCAAGATCCTTCTCTTCGACCGTGCCTTTGGTCTCCCTCCCACCTCTCTGACTTCCCTCATCCCTACACCACCACTCCCCCATGCCCGGGCCCCAACACTTGATTGCACAGCGCTTTGGGATGTCCTCCCGACATGAAAGGCGCTCTATAAATGTAATTTTGTTGTTGTAGGTTGACACAAGTACGGCATTGTCGAAGGTGCCATCCTTTGGAATAGATATTTAATCAAGGACCAGTCAGCATGTCGAGGTGAATGTTAAAGATCCTAATGGACTATTTTAAAAAAAGGGGAGTTTCTGCTTGGGTCGTGTCCAAAGAATTAATCATTCAAGTTATGACTGTTTGTGGGATCTTGCTGAGTACAAATGAACTGCTGTGCCTACACTAAAACAGCACCTATAATATTCTGTTCTGGCTAGCTCAGAGCAATTTTTTTTTAACCCCATTAAAAGGTTATAGGAGGACTTTTAGCTCTCCGGAACTTTGTGTTTGCTGCACTCATAGGCAAAGCTTCCCTTCACTTTGATTAAAACACCCTGAAGGCCTCTCCATCGATTTGAGACATTAGGAAAATCACGTCAAACTGATGCTAAAGAAAGTGGTGTAAACATTGAGCATAACGTTCAAGGCTACAGTAACAAAACGCACCAAGCTGGACTTAAACACATATCTTGCAAGCAAATAAGAACAACTTGCATTTATATAGTGCCCTTCACACCGGACGGAGTCTTGGAGTGCTTAAATTCATTACATAACCACACAGCACTGTTTTTTTTTCTTCGAGCGGCGTTGCTTTAAATAAACTCATCATTTGTTTCATGAAAACAGTGTCCCATTGACTGACTTGAGTTGCAGTGACTGACAATAATTATTACCTTATTGTAAGATCTAACCGGAAACTTAAGAGAGAGAGAGTAGCAGAGAGTGGCAGGGAGAGAAAGTGAATCCATAGTTTCCAGAAAAACTTTTGAAAGTAATGACCCCCTAGGCCCATCCCACCTCTTGTTAACTTGCAAAAAGAAAAAAAAATAATCTATTATTAAACTTTCTCCCACTGCAGCCTCCACCCCCACCCCCCAGCTACAGTTACAAAAGACTTGACATGTGTCCCTGGGGTAAAGGGGGGTGATCAACATCTGGATCCAGGGGTGGGATGGGTTGGGATGCAATGGGAGCTTTCAATCCTACTTTGCTGATCAACCTTATAAGGCTCAATCCTCGGTGGAAACACGACTTTCTAAGGAGACATTTTTTCTTTATGGTACATATATATATTTTTATATATATATTTATATAAAAAGATATGACTTACCCCCATGATGCTTCTGCAGAGAAGCGACTGCTCCGAGGAACACCCGAAAGTGGATGAAACGCCAAACCACAGCCCTGAGATTGCAAAGAAAAAAAAATAACCCAACCCCAGAAAAACAGGAAGAACAAGTCACCAACTGCGAACTCGCAGAAACTCCTGCAGAGCAAAACTAAGGTGCAAAAATTCTCAACTGGTTTTGCTGTGGTTAATTGTTATTGTCTCTCTTATTTTTGGAGGGAAGGGAGGGAGGGAGGGAACAGGAAGAGATTGCATTAAAGGTTAGTGAGGCTGATACCTTTGCACTGTGGTATCTCACTGCACAAGTCCACAAGTTCTGCTCCACCCTCTTGCGTTGCCTGTTTCAGTCTGGCTCACGTCCAGTTAAAGGCATCCAGCCTTCATCCCCTGACACTGCACTAACTTGGGTAACGAGGTTGCTCTCTTTGCTCAGATTGATGGTTGTCTGGATAGGTAACTCGCCCATAAAATGCAGTCAATCCACTTTACAGTAAAGGGTGTGTTCACAAAATCCTGTTACTCCCCCCCCCTCACCACTCCATCACCATTCCCTGTTTTCTTTCTTACCATTAACTTTTATTTTCTGTTGCGGATAAGTCGAGTGTAACAATGTCTGATGCCAATAACTTCCTCCTCACTCCGTTCATGTTACCGAAGATGTAGCGCCGAATTCTAGTGCACTACGTAAAAAAAGAACGCATTGGGCTAACAGGACTTTGTGAACACCCTGTATATCCCCTGAAGCACGAATGAGTTCCATGTTGAACGCACTTCAAGACTTACATCCACCATGTTTTATCTCAGTGAAACAGGTTTTCTGATGTGCATTTGGGAGGGAAAAGAGGATAGGGATATAATCAAGACAATGACGAGGCAATGATACCATCGCAACAGGTTGCCTCAATGAAATAATCTTTCCAAACGACACATCTTACAGAAGGAAGAAAAGCTATTCTTGTTAAGATGAAAAAGTGCAAATACCGTAGCAACAACAACTTGCACTTATGTAGTGCCCATCACGCAGTATAGTGTTTCGGAGCGTTATCTATTGTTAGCAGTTCTCAATTGAAAGCAAAACATGTTTTGGGGGTTTGGGGCAAAAATAAGATTGGTGTGGGTGTGCCCCTCATTAAATAGTAACACATTTTCCATTAGCCAGTGTACCTTCCTTGTCTAAATCGAGCTGGTTTTGACGCATTTAACTCAAACTAAACGCACACGCCTCAGACAAGCAGAATTATTTTTGAATAAAATAGTTACAATATTGTGTACGTAAATAACATTCGATTGACAATGCTGAATATTTGCGAACTATATCTCACTCAGGTTTGGAGTACTGTTAATGTGTTGCATTGTGTTAAATCTTTTGTCCATTTAAGAAATCCCATAACACTTTTGTGGTCAGGGTGTGAGCTTTTCTTATAAGCATTCTGATCCACCTAGTTACACAGCCAAGTTTGCTCCTGTAAAAGATAACAATAAGTTTCGGTATCTTTCAGTCAAATCCAGTATATTGTCAGGCCCAGAAATTCCTACAAGCCTTCATCAAGCCTACAAAATGCATGATCATTGCACTTTACAGTAAATCCTATAAAACAGCTTGAGAAGTCCCAATGTTGTGATAAGATGCTTTATCCGTGTGCAGCAATTGGCTGCCATGTTTTGCCCACAATATACAGTCCATTCACTTTACAGTATATCCTGTGAAGTGCTTTGAGATGTCTCAAAGACATGATATACCAATGCAAAGATTATTGTTATATTTATAATAATGTGGATGGTTTGGGTGGTGACTAAAGTTTATAGCGGTTTGGTTATGGGTTTTGGCAGGTGTACTGCCCTAAATAGCAATCTGAGATTGTACACAATTTTATCCTTATAATTTCCTATTGAGCAACAAGAATGTGAAGCAAAATGTGTTTTTGATCAATCTGATTTAAGGATCCTGGACAGAATTGTTTGCCAGAACTTTTGTTTTGTTTAGAAAGAAATGTGGTCATATGGTATCTGTTATCCAAATGTTGCCACATTGAGGATTGAAATATACTGAATTACAATAGGATTTGTGTCCATTCACTGACAAGAGAACTTCTTAGAGAGATATGTTTCCCCTATGTTTCAAGTAGCCACATTGTAATTGGGATGCGACAAGCATTATTTAGTTACACAAGTGAACTTTGTTGTCCTTGTGTAACAAATGTTACCAAACAGTTTGTGCTAGTACACTGTAAGCATGGAATTAAACATATGCTAGTGGTAACTTACAAAGTGTCGTATAATCCTTTAATGTTATGTTATCTCAATCAGTGTAAAGCCAGCACCAAATTGGTCGAATAACATTAGGCAAAATTGGTTCATCTTGAAATGGTGACCTTACATTATATCAGAGCAAACCTTTTCTTTTCAATTGGAGCTCCAAGTCTATAATTACAAGTATTTATTATATTGATAACAAATAGATGTCATTTACATGAATATGGAGTTTTAAACTAATTACCTTTGAGGTTTTGAAATATACTGCCCCTCGGAAGATAGTGTATGACAGGGTTGGCTTTGTGTAGTCTATAAACAGAGTGTGCTTAAATGCATTTTCCTTCCATACTTTCTTATGCTTCCCATATTAAGATGGCTGAAAGCTGTAGTTGCTGTTAAAGTTACACTGAATGGTGCCAACAAATTCATATATATATATTCAGGTGGATGTTAAAGATCTATTGAAACTACTTGAAAAGAAAAGGGAGTTTCTCCCAGTGTCCTGGCCAATAATTCTCCAGATTAAATTGTCATTCATTTCATGGCTGTTTGTGGGACCGTGGTGGTGCAAATGTGTTATGTTTACCTACAAAAAAAAATGAGTAATCACCCATGAATTAGTTTGAAATGTTTAACACAGTAAAAATGTAAGTTATTTTCTTTTTTGTTGATTCTTTTATGACAGAGGCTATGCTTTTTAAAGTATTTAAGTAAAAAGAGGGCCGGATGAAACCATAAAGAAGCTTCCTTGCTCCACACACCTCTTTTACCGAGCAGTAAGTAGGAACCCAGTTGTTAGTCGATTAGCATGGGGTTGGGGGGGGGGAGAAAGGAAGGTGAAAAGATAAATCTTAAAATGGGTTTTCACAAGATCCAATATTGGTTTGGATGAAGAAGGCTAATCAGCCCCCCTGATCTCATCCTTCCAGAACACCCACTCTACCGTCCCATCAGGGATAGCAGGGGAGAAAGGAGCAAGGTAGAGGGACTTTGGGATGGAGTTTAATAATAATAATCCTTCCATTTGGTAATCACAGGATTACTACTACAGTCTACTTCACAGGTGATTGCTCTCAAATGTCGGGACTGTTTTTGTAGGCAAACATATATATGAAATGTGCCAGTCATGAAACATGCACAGCAATTTCCCACTAACAGCCATGGAGCCATGGTTCCAAATTTTATCTGGGGATTTGTTGGCTAGGACCCTGGGAGAAATTCCCTTCTTTTTTTGAATAGTGCCATGGGATCTTTAACATACACCTGAACAGGTAGATGGGATCTAGGTTTGACATCTCATACAAAGGACAGTATGATTGACATTGCAACACACCCCAAGCACTGCGTTGGAGCATCATCTTAGACCATATGATTCCAAATCCTAATGTGGGACATGAACCCACAGCCTTCCGACTCGGAGGCGAGAGTGCTACCACTGTGCCAGGCTGTTTCAGGTCATGGGATGGACTAGAGAAAATGTAATACATTTTTAAACACATTCCTCAGCAGAACAAACAGAACAGGTTTCCTTTCTCCTCCTAATGTGCTTGTTCAGATCCAACCAATTTGACTTAAAACACATTTGCTGACATTCTTGAAGAAACGGTTCTGAGCTCTCAGGTTTCCCCATTGGCTAAGCAATTATACAGGGAGCATTTATTATGGTTAATTGCACTCAGTGCCTTCAGGACAAGGAAGAGGTCAATTGCCTATTGGTTCCTGTTCCTAATCACAATTTAGAGAGCCCCTGCTGGTATTTGCAAGTAAATGGTTGTAGGCTGAGATCTGTAAATCATTTCACATTTCTTTAAATGTTTTCCCAATGGGATCTCTAATGACTCTATAGGGAGTGTGTTTGTGTGTTGCACAATGGTACAGGAGTGTGCAGATGTTGTACAGGGGGAGTGTGTATTAATGGAATACCATGGTAACAAGCACTAACAAGGATCCTGTATGATTAATGCCCACGCGGCTGAGGTTCAGGAGAGCCGACAGATCTCATGGAGCCATATCTTAAATGGGGTAAAACAAAAAAGGGGAAGAAGGAAAACTGGTCAGAAATAAAAGACCCTCTTGCAACTTGAGGCTGTACATCTCAAAGACTTTCCACAGTCTCTTCGCCTTGCTCCCTCCCTTGCCTCCTTCAAGGCCCGTCTCAAGACTCTGTTCTTTGACCGCGCTTTTGGTCACCTTCCTACCCCTCCTCTCCCCACCTTGGAACATCCTCCCAACATGAAAGGCGCTATACAAATGTAATTTGTTGTTGTTTTGTGTCTCTTGAACTTGTAGGGGTGCTGCGTGTCTCGTACTGGTTGTTCCTTTCCATCCGCATCACTGGAACAACAACAACAAAATTACATTTATAGAGCGCCTTTCACGTCTGGAGGATGTCCCAAAGCGCTGAACAGCCAGGTGTTGGGGCCCGAGCATGGGGGAGGGGTGGTGTAGGGGTGAGGGAAGGCAGAGAAGTGGAAGGGAGACCAAAGGCACCGTCGAAGAGAAGGGTCTTGAGACCAGCCTTGAAGGAGGCAAGGCAGGAAGCGAGATGAAAGGACCGCAGGATGGAGTTCCAGAGTATGGGGGAAGAGAGGCTGAAAGCCTGGCCACCAATGGTAGGGTGGATCGGGCGGGAGACATGGAGCAGGCCAGAGCCCGATGAACAGAGGGAGTGGGCAGGATGAGTCAGCAGGTCAGAGAGGGAGGAGGGGGCAAGGCCATGGATGGCCTTAAAGATGAGGACCTGGATCTTGAACTTGATCCTCTGAGGGATGAGGAGCCAGTGGAGTTGGGCGAGAGTGGGAGTGATGGGGTCATGGAGCCTGGTGCGTGAGAGTACACAGGCTGCAGAGTTTTGGATGATCTGCAGCTTGAGAAGGGAAGAGTTGGGAAGGCCGATGAGGGGGAGTTCCTGTAATCAAGCCTTGAGGTGATGAATGCTTGGGTGAGAGTTTCGGCAGCCTGAGGGGTGAGGCAGTGGCAGAGTCTGGCGATGTTGCGGAGGTGGTGGTAGGCAGTACCAGTCATGGTGCGGATGTGGGGAAGAAAGGACAGTTCAGGGTCAAATA